TTAACATTTAGCTATAAACGACCAGGCCTTATTCCAGTCCTCCAGATCCACGACTGCCCCCAAGTCACACTCCCACTTGGCAGCATATGATAGAGAAGCACGCATGGAGCACCTATTCAAGGATGCATAAAGTAGGGAAACAATACTCGAGGTGCCCGGACACTGTTGGCAAAGCTGTTCAGAGGCTGATTTCTGATATGGATAGACAGAAGTGCCACGGTGTGAGGTCAACCAGTGCCGCAATTGAAGGTAAAGGAAAAATTCTGCCTGAGGGACATCCCGTGATTCCTGAAGAGAGTTCCACATGGGGAAGGATCTAGAGGTCAAAAGTGTCGCACCTGCGAAAAACCATTGGCCACCCACCAAGAGAACGCCTCTGGCTGATCCAAACCTGGTGGAAAAAGAGGATTATTGACAATGTGGAACAAGAGTAGAAAGGGTGACATCAAGCCACTAGAATAACATACCAAGTCCCCACTCGTAGGCCATGGAGCAGAATGGAACTCAATGTCAGGGGGGAGCCATAAAAGGATCGATGTCGCAATGGGGGCACAGTTAAGTAGTTGCAAAAGGACCCAGAGTGGGACATCAGAGGAAGCATGCAACATAGACAGGAGGGCAATCTGGCTCACCTGGTAATACTTAGCTACATTAGGTACCCCAAGACCTCTCTGCAATCTATGGGCAAAGAGCATGCTTCTGGAAACTCTGGGGTGTCTGTCAGCACAGATAAATTGCATAATCCTCGCCTGAATCAACTGGAGAAAATGAGGAGGAACCCGCACTGGGAGGGTGTGAAAAAAATCCAACAATTTAGGCAAGATAATCATTTTCACCGAATTAACCCGTCCTATCCAGGACAGGTGCGAGAATTGCCAAGACTGCATAAGGGCAGACACTGAGCATAGCAATGGATAATAATTTGCAGCAAAGAACCATAGGTGGGGGTCAGGTGAATGCCCAAGTATTCCAATGAAGAGGAAGCCCATTTGTAAGGGGCGTGGGAGACCCAAAATCAATTAAAAACACCCAAGAACCTGTTGTAAGTTTGGGAACGTCATCAAAGGATTAGTGAGAGTCAAGAAGGCATTGTCTGCAAAAAGATTCAACTTAAATTTCTGTCCCGCGAAAGGACACCTGATATATTGCAATCAGCCCGGAGCGCCAAAGCCAGTGGCTCAAGTGCCAGGACAAAGAGCCAAATGGGAAAGGGATCTGAAAATACCCTGCATACTTAACCAAAGCCGAGGGGGAAGAATACAAGGCCTGGATCCATGAAAGGATAGAATCCCCAAAGCCCCAACGGAACAGCACAAACCGCAGATATTTCCAGGATAGGGAATCAAAAGCTTTGTATATATCTAAAAATCCCAGAATTTTGCGCTGTTGCAGAAGGTGTGTAATGTGAACAACTTTACTAACATTATCACCCACCTGCCTCCCAGGGACGAAACCTACTTGGTCCCTGTGGACCAGACTCTGCAAATATTTACTGATACAAAGACTGAGAATCTTGCCTAATATCTTCAGATCCTCATTAAGAAAGAAATGGGCCGAAAGGTTTGCAGTTCCTGTACGTCTTCCGTTGTCATAGGAATCATTGAGATATGAGCTCTAAGCGTGTCTGGAGAGGGCAGAAAACCCTGTCGCAATTCATTAAAATAACCAGCTAAAAAGGGTGGCAACAGGGTTGCAAATTTCTTGTAATAGAGACCTGAAAAGCCGTCAGGACCCAGGGCCGCGGTGGACTGTAAAGATTTGATAGCTTGAAGTACTTCTGATACAGTTACACCTGCATTAAGGGCCACCTGTGCCAGTTTGGACAATCCAGGGAGTTGTAGATCTTGAAAGAAAGCGTCCGCCTGAGCTACAGGAAAGGTATCTGGTTAGGCGTGTAAGTGTGAAAGGAAGTCTGCGAAACAGCCTGCTAGGGATTGGAGGTACAGCCACCCACAGGGAGCCGCAACTGGACCAGTTTGTGAGTTTTCCCCACAGAATTGAATTTCCTAGCCAGCATCGGACCTGGTTTATTAGGACAGGTATAAAATTTATGTTTGGTCCAACGCAGGGCCTGTTTAGCCTCCGAAAAGGCAAGTAAGTCCAATTCTGCAGCCAGGGAGTCCCGCGTTCGTTTATGGGCCACGTACGGGTGTGACTTTCAATGAGCATCTGCAGAAGCTATCTGAGAGTGAAGGTCCGAAAGATGACACTCCTGTTTCTGAGCCACAGCCAGCTGTATAAATGAGACCCCACACCGTAGCTTTATGCACCTCCCACAGGGGCACTGCCGAAGAAACCGATCCCGAGTTCTCTGTAAAGTACGTTCGTATGTAATATTCAATTTGCTGGCAAGTGGCCTGGGTGGTCAATAAAGACTTGTAATGCGCCAGTGAAAAGGACGGGGTTGTTCCTGGCCACCAAGAGAATGGTTACCTTAGTGCGATAATAGGTGAATTTGATGATAATGTCTCTTGGGGACCCCTCCAGCCATCTGGGACCCAATGCATGATGTATGCTGTCAAATTCGAGACGGTCAATGGGAATGGCAGGGATCAGCTCCTGAAACAGGGCAGTAGTGGTTGATGTGAGATCTGTAACGGATTCCAGAATACCCTGTAAGCATAAGTAGCCGCAGCGGGAACGGTTCTCGAAATCTTCAAGCCGGAGCAGCGTGTCTGCCAATTCTTTCTTAAGGTCGCACGCATCCTGCTAATGTCTTTCAATGACCATGGCCGCAGTGTCCATTTTATTCTCAAGATCATTCGTTCGATTGCCCAGCTCTCTAAGTTCTCATGACAGACGTTCTGCCAGCTTGGAAGTAGCAGAGGACAATTCCATCTGCAGCATCGACTTGAAGTGATCCAGGAGTTCAACATGCCACAGGGCCGGTGCAGGGGGTTGCAAGGGTGGCTCAGTGCCCATCTCAGCGGTGGGATCTGGTGCACCCGTGGGCCAGAAATCAAGGCTGGGGATTCAGATGCAGCCTTCAGCAGGTAGGCCGCAAATTCTGGCGCAGCTTGCTGAGCGCTGGAGGTGCGGCCAACCCCCCGTTTTTTCCCCCATCAGGGCAGTTGAGGAAATAGCAATCCGGGGGGGTTAGTGGACAGCTGGCTGACCCCCCTGAGAGCCGGCGAATCAGCCGATGTGTTCGGTGGGCAAAGAGCGTGCCTACTGAGCGGCCAGCTTGTACGCTGCTCCGGCATCCGAAGGTGTCCTTTAGAGATGAGCGAATCGAACATGACGAAGTGGAATTCGTTCCGAAGATTTGGAAAAATTCTATTCGCGACGAATCCGAAGATTAGCAAACTTCGGATGCACGAATCTAATTTTCCCAAAAATGGCGGCGACATGTGTGGCGACGGAGAAAATGGACAGAGAAGATGGGGCGGGGATCTCTGGGAAGGCGCGCAGACAAGGCGCGCTGACCCATAATGCATTCATGACATGTGATCGCATTAGCCAATCAGCAGCCAGCCAGCACTGTGTAATGGTGGAGCTATAAATCGCGGTCATCTTAGAATTCTCCATTAGCCTCCGGTCATTCAAGAGAGACAGACCTGTGTGTATTAAGGGACAGAGTTAGGGCCACAGAGACTTTAGGGCCACAGAATCGTTACGCAGGGACACAGAATCGTTACTCAGGGACACAGAATCGTTACTCAGGGACACAGAATCGTTACTTAGGGCCACAGCTATCAAAGAATCGAAAATTTAAAGTGACATACACCCTTTTTTTTTGGTGGCTGTCGTGCACAGTTGGTGCTGCAGTTTGCCGATTGTGCAAAATAAACTGACTTTCTGCTTCACAACCACTATTGTACGTTCAAAGAGTTAAAATCCATTTACACGCCGGCTGGCGGTAATATTTTTTGGGTCATTAGTGCATTCCAGTGACAGAAACGTACAGTTTCCAGCCAACGGCAAGCTGCAATTGACCGATTGTGTACAATAAACTGACTTTCTGCTTCACAACCACTATTGTACGTTCAAAGAGTTAGATCCATTTACACGCCGGGTGGTGGTAATATTTTTTGGGTGATTAGTGCATTCCAGTGACATAAACGTACAGTTTCCAGCCAACGGCAAGCTGCAATTGACCGATTGTGCTAAATAAACTGACTTTCTGCTTCACAACCACTATTGTACGTTCAAAGAGTTAAATCCATTTACACGCCGGGTGGGCGGTAATATTTTTTGGGTGATTAGTGCATTCCAGTGACAGAAACGTACAGTTTCCAGCCAACGGCAAGCTGCAATTGACCGATTGTGTACAATAAACTGACTTTCTGCTTCACAACCACTATTGTACGTTCAAAGAGTTAGATCCATTTACACGCCGGGTGGCGGTAATATTTTTTGGGTGATTAGTGCATTCCAGTGACATAAACGTACAGTTTCCAGCCAACGGCAAGCTGCAATTGACCGATTGTGTACAATAAACTGACTTTCTGCTTCTCAACCACTATTGTACGTTCAAAGAGTTAGATCCATTTACACGCCGGGTGGGCGGTAATATTTTTTGGGTGATTAGTGCATTCCAGTGACATAAACGTACAGTTTCCAGCCAACGGCAAGCTGCAATTGACCGATTGTGCTAAATAAACTGACTTTCTGCTTCACAACCACTATTGTACGTTCAAAGAGTTAAATCCATTTACACGCCGGCTGGCGGTAATATTTTTTGGGTGATTAGTGCATTCCAGTGACAGAAACGTACAGTTTCCAGCCAACGGCAAGCTGCAATTGACCGATTGTGTACAATAAACTGACTTTCTGCTTCACAACCACTATTGTACGTTCAAAGAGTTAGATCCATTTACACGCCGGGTGGGCGGTAATATTTTTTGGGTGATTAGTGCATTCCAGTGACATAAACGTACAGTTTCCAGCCAGCGGCCCTGTACGGCCTCCCATTGCTGCTGACTTCATCGCCAGACTCTGCCATGTGCCACTTTCAGGTCTCCTTACACTGTTGGTGGGTTCCATTTTGTGATAGGGTGCTGTATGGCCTTCCATTGCTGCTGCCTCCACCGCCACCCTGCGCCATGTGCCTCTGTCGTCTGCTCACGCTGCTGACGGCTTCCGCTTTTTAACCGAGGCCTGTGTTTGGCTTCCGAATACTGCTGCATCCACCGCCACCCTGCGCCATGTGTCTCTGTCGTCTGCTCACACTGCTGACGGCTTCCGCTTTTTAACCTAGGCCTGTGTATGGCTTCAGAATAATGCTGCCTACACCGCCACCCTGCGCCATGTGCCTCTGTCGTCTGCTCACGCTGCTGCCAGGTCCATACTGATTCATGGCCCCCTGTACCGGCTCCTCATGAACGTGGTTCAGCGGGTTTGCATCACTTAACGGCAAATCGTTGACAAACGCTGGGACGTTCAGTGTTGTGCGCATTAAGCCAGACACCAAAGGGCAGCACAGACCTGTTATTACTCGCTTAAGCATGGCTGAACAAAACCAGTCTCTACCACAAATTGGACCCAGACCTGCCCAGGGTCTCGTAAGTACAGTTGCAAGAAAAAGTATGTGAACCCCTTGGGATTACTTGGAGTTTTGCATGAATTGGCCATAAAATGTGCTCTGAACGTCATCTAAGTCACAACAATAGAAGAACACAGTCTGCTGAACATAATACTACACAAACATTAGATGTTGCCATGGTTTAATTGCACATAACATGTAAACATTCACAGTGCAGGGAGGAAAAAGTATGTGAGGCCCTAGCTTAATGACTTCTCCCAGAGCTAATTGGAGCCAGGAGTGAGCCAACCTTGACTCCAATCAGTGTGATGATATTGGATGTGTTGCTGACAGCTGTCCTGCCCTTAAAAAACACACACCTGTTTTGGGTTTACTGGTTTCAAGAAGCACTGTCTGATGTGAACCAAGCCCCGCAGAAAAGAGCTCTCAGAAGACCTACGATCAAGAATTGTTGACTTGCATGAAGCTGGAAAGGTTTACAAAAGTATCTCCAAAAGCCTTGATGTTCATGTGTCCACGGTAAGACAGACTGTCTACAAATGGAGAAAGTTTAGCACTGTTGCTGCTCTCCCTAGGCGTGGTCATCCTGTAAAAATGACTGCAAGAGCACAGCGCAGAATGCTGCATGAGGTAAAGAAGAATCCCAGAGTGTCAGCTAAAGACCTACAGAAATCTCTGGCACATGCTAACATTTTTGTTGACACATCTACAATAAGGAAAACATTAAACAAGAATGGAGTACATGGGAGGACACCACGGAGGAAGCCATTGCTGTCCAAAAAGAATATTGCAGCACGTTTGAAGTTTGCAAAAGAGCACCTGGATGTTCCACAGCACTACTGGCAAAATATACTGTGGACAGATGAAACCAAGATTGAGTTGTTTGGGAAGAACACACAACACTATGTGTGGAGAAAAAAAGGCACAGCACACCAACATCAAAACCTCATCCCCACTGTAGAACATGGCGGAGGGAGCATCATGGTTTGGGGCTGCTTTGCTGCCTCAGGGCCTGGACGGATTGTTGTCATTGATGGGAAAATGAATTCCAGAGTTTATGAAGACATTTTGCAGGAAAACGTACGACCATCTGTCCGCCAACTGAAGTTCCGTAGAGGATGGGTGATGCAACAGGACAATGACCCAAAGCATACAAGTAATTCAACAAAACAATGGCTGCAACAGCACAGAATACGCCTTCTGGAGTGGCCCAGTCAGAGTCCTGACCTCAACCCGATTGAAATGCTGTGGCATGACTTTAAAAGAGCGATTCACACCAGACATCCCAAGAATATTGCTACACTGAAACAGTTTTGTGAAGAGGAGTGGTCCAAAATTACTCCAGATCGTTGTGCAGGTCTGATCTGCAACTACAGGAAATGTTTGGTTGAGGTTATTGCTGCCAAAGGAGAGTCAACCAGTTATTAGGTCCAAAGGTTCACATACTTTTTCCTCCCTGCACTGTGAATGTTTACATGTTATGGGCAATTAAACCATGGCAACATCTAATGTTTGTGTAGTATTATGTTCAGCAGACTGTGTTCTTCTATTGTTGTGACTTAGATGATGTTCAGAGCACATTTTATGCCCAATTCATACAAAACTCCACATAATCCCAAGGGGTTCACATACTTTTTCTTGCAACTGTAGATTGCACGGAGGAGTAGAGTTTCGTTATTGGAATTAACTGTGAGGGACTTTTAAACCTAGGCCTGTGTATGGCCTTCAATTGAAGCTGCTTCTGCTCCGCCACTCTGCCATTGGACTCTTGATAGTCGTCTCCCCCCACGCTGCTGCTGGGGGGACTTTTTAACATAGGCCTCTGTATGGCCTTCAATTTTAGCTGCTTACGCTCCGCCACTCTGCCATGGGCCCCTGTACCGCCTCCTCATGCTGCTGCCAGGCCCGTAATCTGCCATGGGCCCCCGTACCGACTCCTCATGCTGCTGCCAGGCCCGTAATCTGTCATGGGCCCCTGTACCGCCTCCTCATGCTGCTGCCAGGTCCAGACTGTGTCATGGGTACCTGTACGACCTCCCATTGCTGCTGTCTCCATCGCCACACTCTGCCATGTGCCACTTTCAGGTCTCCTCACACTGCTGGTGGGTTCCATTTTGTCATAGGGTGCTGTATGGCCTCCCATTGCTGCTGCCTCCACCGCCACACTGTGGCTCCACACTCTGGTTTTGGCCCCGTGACTGCCCAAATGAGTGAAGTGTGCGGTGATTCTAAGATCGACGGCACTCATCTGCATGTCATACTGACTGACAGTATTATTTCTCTTCCCCAGCAGACTCCAAGGGCATTTAAATTAAAGGTACAGTGTTCTGCACTAATATAAAGGCTCTCTGAAGCCTACAAACACCCTTTTTATAAGTTAAATTTTGCAGCGAATATATTCGGCTCGAAGCGAATTCATTCGGCGAATTCGGCGAATCAGCCAAACCGAATTTTTGAATAATTCGCTCATCTCTAGTGTCCTTTAATAAGTTCCACCATAAGCCCAGACTTCTCTGAACAGGAGGCATGTCCATTCCCGGATTTAAATCTTTAAATCCTGTGTCATAATTGCCAGGGTGAAAGACTTTCATCACAGCAGCACTGTTTGAGGCAATCTTATGGAGTCTGAGGTTGGTCTCAGAAAGCATACCTTGAGTCCTTTGGAGCGAGTCTGTGGCTTCTTCATCTGTAGGTAAAGATTTGAGTCCGTTGCCCACATAGAAGTCTCTCTCAATGAAGTGTCGAGCATCTGCACCATACTCACTTTCACCGTCAAGAGCAATACTTTGTGGACCATATTTTGCAACAGCAGGTGAGGGTCTGTTTCTGCGGTATTCAATTGCTTCATTGTTTATGTTGTTGTCACGGTGCCACAGAAACCTTAGGAAGTTCCTATGGTCTTCTCTTACTTTAAGCAATGGAACATTTGTTCATTGTCAACAGCTATGGCAACTGGCTCTCTTCTGAACTTCATAAGTACTCCTACAAGGTTGTTGGTTAAGTTGGGACCAGTGAAAAGAACATCACTGAGGTTTTGCTTTGATGCCTCACACTGGAGTCAAACACTATCATGATTTGTTTTTGGTTTACGTGGATGATACACTCCAAAGAAAGGCAGATATCAACACTCGTCATGCTGTAGAAGAGATGGAGCTGGCTCAGCATGATCATTGTCAAAAATTATTTTCATAAAGGCAATTAAATGGTCTTTCATTTCAGGCCTGTTCTTTAGTGTTCTCTGAAGTGGGTTGAATCTGGCTAAAGCTTGTTCATTATTTTTTGGAAGTCTGACTATTCTAGCACAGAGGTAACGGTGCAACTCAACTGTTAAGATTTATATTTGAAAAATGAATTGTCCATTATTGTAATTAACTCTCTATCTCTATTAGCATACAGTCGGGAAAATAATTATCTGAACCCCTGCAGAATTTGTAAGTTTTCCCACTCACAAAGAAATGAAAGGTCTATAATTTTTATCATAGGTATATTTTAAATGATAGAGACAGAATATGACAAATGTGCTTTTTTGTTAAAGGAGAAGTACAGCCAAAGCTCTTTTGGCTTTGTTTCTGTGGATCACAGGAGTGCAGTTTGATCTGCACTCCTGTGACCCGTTTTCAGCTGATGGCGGACTGAAGTCTGCTGTTGGCTGATGTCACTCAGCTGGTCCAGGCTGGGGAAAGATAATACAAAAGGGATAACAGGCGCATGGTGTGGCAGTCCATGTATGTTTGATGAGTTCCAAATGGGCAGGGGTGAAGGTAGGCTAGTAGGTACTAAGGGCAAGCTGCGTAGGAGCGAAGCATAATTCTGCAGAAGGGAAACAAAGAAACACAGCGCCTCTAAGTGTGTACTGTGAAGGCATTTAATAGAAATATAAGTAGTAAGTCACTTCATAGAATTTAAAAACAGGCTCATGGGTAAGAGGGTGAAATGTCTGTAGCCAGATGTTGTTGTGTGTCTGATCCAGAGAGTAGATCGATTGAGTCCATCAGCAGATGGTGCTGTACATGTGCAACATGGATGGTAAGCCTGGTGGAATCTCTAAGGTGTCTGCCAGCAGATGGTGCTGTGCATATGCAGCATGGATGGTGGAGCCTGGTACTCCAAGATGTCCGGGATCAGCACATGTGCCGTCTGATGGCAACAAAATGCGACGTGTTTCTGAGCATGTGCAGAACGAGATGAGTCCAGACGTGCTCTTTCATCAGGCAGGGAGGAGCTGGGGGTGAAGGAGCCTTTTATAGGGCAAGGGGCGGATGATGGACAGGGCCAGAGGCGGGAAAAGGAGGAGGAAACTGTCACAGAGCACCAGACTAGCTGTCTGTGAACAGGAAGATTAATGGCACAGGTGGAGGGATAATATTCTTATATAAACATATCATAAAATGTGGGTTTAACATAAAAGCAAGATCAGCACAATATGAAAGGAATTAAATAGTGAATGTTGTTAAAAATATGAGACACTTAGAGGTAATGTTAGTGGGCAATGTCATCAGCCGATTTTCGTGGTTCCTCCCCATTTATTTTATCAGGCATGCTGGAAAATTTGTGAAAAACGACCGATTTTCTACATCATTGGTGGCACCATCAGAGTACAGAACAAACGACATTTCGATTTTTTGGATGAAAAATCATACGGAATTCAAACCATGTATGGCCTGTATGACTTGTACACACTGAGTTTAGAAGCTGATTGGTTACTATGCACAGCTGCTGCAGATTCTGTTTCCTCCAGTTTTTGTAAATTCCCTCCCGTCATTTTTTTTTACAGTAATTTGTTCAAGTATATGAAAAAGTCAACAATTTCCATGGAGTGTATTTTCTTTTTCACATGCCTGTATATACAATATTAATGGAATCATTGAGAACAAGCATTCCTTGTAGGTAGTCCTATCATCTCTAATGGAACAGAAATGCACCAAAAGCCCAGACTCCTTCAAAGTAGCTGAAAACTGCGTGTCTACTAAATCCAATGAAAATTTTTACAAAATGGCAACAGTAAAGGCTTGATAGTACTGTGTCCTTTTAGCTGAGTTGATTTGCACATAGGGTACATTTTTTTTCTAAGTGTCCTGTTTATACAATAACACAATGTTGAGGTGCATTGCGGTGCACTAAGTAAAAAATGCAGCACACCTCCAATTTTATGCAGTGCAATGCACGGTACCAAATGCTACTGCACCACAGTGTGTCACAAGGCACTGTGGTGCAAAGATTTGGTTGATGTGGCATTTTGTGACACTTTCATAAAGCTGATATAAAAAGAAAACAAATGCAAACAGTGCGATGTATGCCCCTCACTACCCCTACACAACACCCACCAGTGCATGCACAGTATAGCATGCAGGCTGGTGTGAATGAGCCCTAACAAATTTCATCTGTGAACCTGTACTGAAGAAGTATGGAGGCCATCACTGCTAAATTCTCAGTCCCCTGGCTGCTATTCTGAACCCTTAGCTCCTGCACTTTCTGAGGCATAGACCTAAAACAATCATACAGATCAAAAGTTCTGGCTTCACTCTGATTTTTTAATATGTATGCATGTTTCATTATAGCGTCTCAGAAACTACAGAAGGCATAGACACTCCCCCAGCTAAAAATAATAATAATAATAAAAATAATATCTTCCATATTTCTTTCAAATCTACCAAAATTAAATGCAAATGTAGGACAAATAGTACTTTTCAGGCTAAGGAGAAAAATTCCTAGATTGTAAGCTCTAACGAGCAGGGCCCTCTGTTTCCTCTTGTACCAAATTGTATTGTAACTGTAATGTCTACCTTCATTTTGTAAAGCACTGCACAAATTTTTGGCGCTATATAAATCCTGTATAATAATAATAATAACATTCAAACAGGTTTAACCAACCTTTTTTAACTGAAATAATAATAAATGCCCACTAGATGTCACTGTCGAATTATTTTTACACAGCCATGAGACAATTTGCTCAGTAAGTTCCTTCTCACTGCCTTCAAAAACTATAATTTCAACTGAAAAAGTTTTTAAAGAAATAAACAACGTGCTTAAAATATATGCCTTCATTTTTAACAAATCAAAAATAGATTGAAAATGTTAGTTTGTAATCACTGCCTTATGCAGATAGAATTTATATTTATTTTTGGGCAGCACAGAGGCTAAATGGTTAGCACTTCTGCCTGGCAGTACTAGGGTTGTTAGTTTGAACCCCAACCATAGCACTACCTGCCTAGAGTTTGCATGTTCTCCCTGTGCCTGTGTGGGTTTTCCTCCAGTTTCCTCCCACACTCCAAAGACATACTTTTTGCTATTAAACATGTCCAAAAAAATTTTAAAAATCCAATTTCATCATACATTTAGGGCAAAATGTATTCTGCTACAAGTCTTTGCTAAAGAAAATCCCAATACCTGTAAATTAATTGGTTTACATGAAATGTATAGCATTTACAAATGGCGGTATGTACAATGGAATTTTTTTTTTATTTTAATAGTAATGCCGGTGATCAGCAACTCATAGCGGGACTGCAGCAGCAGCATTTTGACACTGGGGGGAACTGACTTGGTGTCACTGACATCCCCAGGGACACTAATACAGTGATCAGTGCTAATAAAAAACACTGACACTGTACTAATGGCACTGGGCAGGAAGGGGTTAACATCTGGGGAGATCAAACGGTTAACTGTGTGCTGTGTGTGTTTTACTATGGGGCTGTGTCTGTGCTTTCCACTGTAAGCATACTGCTTTGTATGGCTCTGCTATGCAGAGCCATACAAAGCAGTGTGCTGGACCCAATGGGAGAGAACTGTATTGTTTACATACAGTTCCCTCCCCCGTCGGTATTATTCGGCGATCACTGGGTGACGGCGAGTAATCACCGGTTGGAACCCGGTGATTGACAGCTGAGGCCGCGAATAGCGGCGCGGGTAGGGCGCGAGTGCCCCCTACCTGGAAATGCAAAATCATGTATATACAGTATATGTG